AATCAAAGATAGTGAATATATAGTCATATATATAAATAAATATATTTAAATATTGTTAGTTATATATCTATGAGTAGTTAACTATATTTCCAAATATAGTTATCTATATAATTATTATTTTTTTCACAAACAGTCAGCTATACTACTTGTATTTACAAATAATTAACTATTATCTATATAGTTAAAAATATAAATGACTATATCTAAATATAGTTAGTTATACATCCATGTGTAGGTAACTATATATAAACATACAATAAACTAAATTGTTAATTTTATTCACAAACAATCAACTATACTTAATGTATGAAACTTATAATTCATTATATCAAACAAGTAGTTAATTATATTAAAATAAAGTTCACTACTTTTTTAATTGAAATTGTGAAATAGTTGACTATTGATTTCAATAGTATCTAATTTGGGATATAGTTCACTATATAATTTATCTATTCAAACAATTAATTATTTTGAAAAGTAGCGAACTATGGTAAAATGCAGGCAAAAAAACTATACATTTCAATTTCAAATTTATTTCTGGAAAGTTTGTTATTTTATTTTTACTACAAGACAAAATTATATTAAATGTGAAATAAATGTGATAATTCTAGTTAAATATAGAAAAAGGGTAAAATAGTCTAATGCTACTTACCAAATTTCCAAACTGCAAATGCTATTTTATTAATTTACATGCTCAAACATGTTATTTCACTAATTAACCCTAGTTATTTTGGTACAACTAAGATAAAAATTATACATGGTACAACTAAACCTTCCCAGACATTATCTTAGTCAACATGAGCTTATGGGACATTCATTCAGCAATTCGGGATTCTTTTAAAATGTTTTTTTTTTGGTTTTAACAAGTGATATTCAAATGTCAACCAAATGTTCCACAACCAAAGTTATAAGCAAAGCAAATGAAATAATGAAATAACATCAATATACTAATGAAAAGGTTGAAGATGCTATGATCCCGCATCTCGAGCAATCTGGTCTTGAAGCCAAGCAGGATCCCTAGAGCAAGATATGCAACTGCCATGCTTAGTAACACTAAAGGCAATTGCGCGAGCTACATAATTGGATCTCGAATTTTCATATTTGGAAGAGGAACCAGCAAAATCCAATCATAACTTGTCAATCTGGTCAAGGAGAATACAGTACTTAGGCCAGTCTGATGGTTTCGACAGCGCTTGGAACGCAGCCTGACAATCCAAGGCTACAACAACATCATAAAGTCTAAGATCACACATACTGAGCATAGACCACTGGACACAACACAGCTCAACCACAATACAGTTTGGGGTTGCAGAAAATACATCTCTAGCATGTAGTAGCACAGAACCAGTATGATCCCGAACTATCGAAGACGCACCGCAATTAGGGGTGTCAAACGAGTCATT